AAATGGTTCTGCATTGCCCATTGCAGGACACAGCAACCATGTCTTTGTGTCAAAAGGTTGTTATAACAGTCTCCAAAACAATACAGAGAAACTCGGTCTCGAAAAACCAAAAAAAATTATTTTTTTTGGTTTTAGTTTTTGGTTTCTCAAGATAAGGTTTCTCTGTGTTGCCCTGGCTGTCCTGGAACTCGCTCTGTAGTCCAGGCTGGCCTCAAATTCACAGAGATCCACCTGCCTCTGCCTCCCAGGTGCTGGAATTAAAGGTGTGCGCCATTAAAGCCTGGCTGAGCTTACTTTAATATAGTGCTTGCTTTACTTAAATTGGTCATGAGATTTGAGCCAGGGGTCTTGTAGACTGAGTCATTTGTATTTAGGCCTTGAACTCCTACTCACAAGCAATTCTCCTGAATCAGGGCCCAGAGTGGCTGAGACAACAGGCCTGTCCACGATTCCTGCATGTTTAGATTTAACAATAAACCTTGAATGTCATTCCACAACAATATCTCATCATTCTTTTCTGTGGCTTTACATTTTTCTTTTAAAAGATATATTATTTGTCTTTTCTTTTCTCCAATATTGTTTTTTTATCAAAGGACAGTCTGTCTTTTTAACATGAGGCCTCATGTTGCCCGGCTTGGCCTTGAACTTTTGATGCTCCTCCCTCATGCTCTCCAGTGCTGGGATTGTTAGTGTGCTCCAGTTTGTCCAGCTACAGAAGCCTTCGAAACGCGTTGTGTCATTAGTGCTGTTTTGCAGAGCAGTGTGGGGCACCCGGAACTTCACTGTCCTGGCTTCTACCACTGCCCTGTCCCTGTGCTGTGGCGTGGGAGCCCCCTGCCCTGGGCCTCCCTGTTAGACTCTCCTCACACCCAGATGAGTTCCCAGCTCTTTTCCCTTCACTCTTTTCCTCTAGGCAATCACAATTCTGCTGCCCTTTTGTTCATTCAAATGAGCCATGTTTTCAAGTCCTGGCCGTATGCCAGGCACTGATCTGGGCCCGGATGTTGTGGAGAGAAACCATACAATGGTCCTCTGCTGCTGAGGGGCTTGTAGACAGAACCATTTCTACTTAGTGAACCACAGTAATCCGTAGAGCAAGGGCAGAGAGTAAGGAGGCAGGATCTTTTCTTTTTTCTTTTTTTTTTTTAAAACCAACATGTAAACCAAAACTTTGGGCCAACAAGTTATTGACTGAATACCACAAAAGAGGACCTGGCCCTGAAACCCCGGGTTCTGAAGCCCAACAGCCTGTGCCCCACCCCCTGTCCCCCTCCCCCACCCGTTTTAGCTTCCCTTTCAGCCAATAGCTGAAGCCCTCGGGCGTCGGTTTTGCCCACTTCCGACCCTCAGTGCCTAAGGCCTCCGCCCCCAACTTTGCTGTCTCCTGTGGCCAGCCTGCCCCTCCTTCCCCCAAAGTCACACACAATCCTTTCTAGTCTTCCTGCCTCCCCTTCAGCCCTTCATATCCACCCAGCCCTGTGTATCTGTGCCATTCCCTGTGGTAACCAAAGGCACATGCGTACACACAACGTAAACGAAAGTGTAATTTTTAAATATTTAAAAAATTGGATGGGGTCAGCTAGGTGGTTCAGAAATTAAAAAGTCACCAACCCTTCAGTTCAATCCCCAAGCCCCACATTACAGAAGGAGAGAACCTATCCTGCAAGTTGTCCTTTGACCCTCCACATCTACACCATGGCATGTGTGTGTGTGTGTGTGTGTGCCCACTCACAAATGTAGTTTTAAAATTAAAGAAAAAGATAGTACAAAAGTAGTTGAGTTTGTTGTTATGTGTGTGTGATTCCAACTACTTAGAAGGTTGAGTTGGGCCGGGCGTTGGTGGCGCACGCCTTTAATCCCAGCACTCGGGAGGCAGAGGCAGGCGGATCTCTGTGAGTTCGAGACCAGCCTGATTTACAGAGCGAGTTCCAGGACAGCCTCCAAAGCCACAGAGAAACCCTGTCTCGAAAAAACCAAAAAAAAAAAAAAAAAAAAAAAAGAAGGTTGAGTTGGAAGGTGGTTTGAATCCAAAGTTGGAGACCAGCATGGGTGACATTGCAAGACCTCCTGCATATTTGATACTTACATTATGATTCGTGACAGTAACATAATTACAGTTTTGAAGTAGCAACACAATAATTGTATGGTTGAGGGTCCCCCCAGATAAAGGAACTGTATTAAAGAGTTGCAACATTGGGAAGGTTGAGAACCAGTGGGCTAGGAGCATCTGCACCTGCAAATCACTGAGACAAGTTTTAACAAATACTAAGAGCCCAATAAGAGTTTTCAGTTGGGGCTGGAGAGATGGCTCAGCAGTGGCTGCTGTAGCAGAGGACCAGGGTTCACTTCCCACCACCCACATGGCAGCTTACAATTTGCTCTAACTCTAGTTCTAGGTGATTAGAGGTTCTCTTCTGGCCGGGTAGTGGTGGCACACACCTTTAATCCCAGCACTCAGGAGGCAGAGGCAGGCGGATTTCTGTGAGTTCAAGACCAGCCTGATTTACAGAGCGAGTTCCAGAACAGCCTCCAAAGCCACAGAGAAACCCTGTCTCAAAACCCCCCTTCCAAAACAAACAAACAAAAAAGAGGTCCTCTTCTGGTACACTTACATATATGCAGGCAAAACACCTCATACACATACAAACTTAACACAAGCTACCTCTTGGTATAATAAAGATCATAGCTAGCTGCTTCTTACCTCCATGTCAGTCACCTGAAATATTTTGTTGTTGTTTTTTTCCTTTTTTAAATTTATTATGTTTACAATGTTCTGTCTGCATGTATCTCTCTAGGCCAGAAGAGGGCACCAGATCTCATTACAGATGGTTGTGAGCCACTATGTGATTGCTGGGAATTGAACTCAGGACCTCTGGAAGAGCAGCTAGTGTTCTTAGCCTCTGAGCCATCTCTCCAGCCCCCGAAATACTTTGTTTCTAAGCAGTGGGAAGGGACATTAGTGTCTTACACTTTTAAGGACACTTCTGTCACTAAGCTATACCTCCATCCCACAGCTCCAACACCAAAATAACTTATTTTATTTTATTATTACTATTGTTTGTTTTGTTTTCTTCTTCTTCTTCTTCTTCTTCTTCTTCTTCTTCTTCTTCTTCTTCTTCTTCTTCTTCTTCTTCTTCTTCTTCTTCTTCTTTTTTTTTTTTTGAGACAGGGTTTCTTTGTAACTTTGGAGCCTGTCCTGGAACTTACAGAGATCCACTTACCTCTTCCTCCAGGGTGCTGGGATTAAAGGCGTGCGCCACCAATGCCCAGGCTGCCTGGCCTTTTTTTATCTTCTTTTTCTCGTTTCCTTTTCCTTCCTCCTCCCCCCATTCCCCACCCAACTTCTATTCTTCTTTTTCAAGGAATGGTCTTTTTGTACCCAGGTTGGCTTTGAATTCACTATAGAGCTGATTTGAACTTCCGATTCCCCGTTCTTTACCTCCCAAGTTCTGGGATTACAGGTGTGTTTGCCGCCATGTGTGGCTCTCCAAAGTTATTTTATTTTGGGGGGAGATACTAAAACACAGGGTCTCATTTTGTAACTCAGGTTGGCCTTGAATTTGCGATAATTATTCCGTCTTACCTCTCTAGTGTTGGTATCACAAGCTTGAGAATATTCAGCTGCTTACTCACCCAGTGTGCTGAGTTTTTTGAGTAAATCAATGTTACACCACTTAAAATTTCTGTCATCCAGAAAGCTTCTGGTGATCTTTTTTTTTAAAACATTTTATTTATTTATTGTATATACAGTCTTCTGCCTACATGCCAGAAGAGGGCACCAGATCTCATTCAAGGTGGTTGTGAGTCACCATGTGGTTGCCGGGAATTGAACTCAGGACTTCTGGAAGAACAGTCAATGCTCTTAACCACTGAGCCATTGCTCCAGCCACCTCCCTTTTTAATTTTATTTATTTATTATTATTATTTATCTATTTTTGGTTTTTCGAGACAGGGTTTCCCTGTAGCTTTGGAGGCTGTCCTGGAACTCGCTCGGTAGACCAGGCTGGTTTCGAACTCACAGTGATCTGCCTGCCTCTGCCTCCCGAGTGCTGGGATTAAAGGCGTGCGCCACCAATGCCCGGCTATTTATTTATTATTAAGTATACAGTGTTCTGCCTGCACACCAGAAGAGGGCACCAGATCTTGTTACAGATGGTTGTGAGCCACCACGTGGTTGCTGGGAATTCAACTCAGGACCTCTGGAAGAGCAGCCAGTGCTCTTAACCTCTGAGCCATCTCTCCAGACCCTGGTGATCTTTTTTTTTTTTGGTTTTTCAAGACAGGGTTTCTCTGTATTGTTTTTGAGGCTGTCCTGGAAGTTGCCCTGTAGACCAGGCTGGCCTCGAACTCACAGAGATCCGCTTGCCTCTGCCTCCCGAGTGCTGGGATTAATGGCGTGCGCCACCAACGGCCGGCTGGTGATCTTTTCTTACCCAGTTATCTCGGGTACTGGTCTGGAGGATGGACATTTTTTTGTTGTTTGAGACAGGGTTTCTCCATGAAGACTAGGCTAACCTCAAACCCAGAGAGTCACCTGCCTGTGACTCTCGAGTGCTGGGATTAAAGTCGTGCGCCACCACGCGCGGCTATATGGACTGATTTTTTTTTTTTTTTTTTTTTTTTTTTTGGTTTTTCGAGACAGGGTTTCTCTGTGGCTTTGGAGGCTGTCCTGGAACTCGCTTGGTAGTCCAGGCTGGTCTCGAACTTACAGAGATCCGCCTGCCTCTGCCTCCCGAGTGCTGGGATTAAAGGCGTGTGCCACCAACGCCCGGCTTATATGGACTAATTTTGAGCGTGTTATATTTGTATTTTCAAAGCATTTCTCTGAGGTGCAAAGGAAAGATAACCAGGCCTGAAAGTGTTGTTGCCTAGCAACCAGAACTCCCCTAGGGACCTGAGGTTAGCCAGCTCAAAGAGGTCCCCTCCTTCTTCCCTCATTGGCTGGGGGCAGCAGGAGACCCCGCCCACCTCCTGGCCCCGCCCCTCGCAGGAGCCTGGCG